CAGAGTCGAAAATGCATTTAACTAGATTGCTTTCGTTTATGGTCAAATGTGTTCGAACAGCCACAAAAGACTAACCTGGCCCTAGCCAGATGAATTTCGCTCCGCCTAGCTTCACTCACATCCATCTGGAACCTCTTCCATTGAGAGTGATTTCTCAAACCAACTTTATGGTTTAGCCAATCAGGACGCAGGGCGGGAGTTTTATAGATGTGACGTAGTGGAGAAGCGACCGTGAGACTGTTTTGATTCAGACAACAATGGCGGCTCGCATCAAGGAAACAAGCGTTAACATTGATGCTGCTATTTCATCCGTGTTGTCCAATCTACCTAATATTGTTTCATTAAAAGAACATCAGAGAACGGCTCTTAAGGCTTTTGTTGGTGGAAACGATGTTATATAGATCAGTGCCTTCTCCCGACCGGATTCTTCAGCATCACGGGTTGGCTTCGGTGTGAGTGGTTGAAATAGCACGTCGATAAAGATGACAGACAAGTGGCTTATCCAATCATATGCAAGGATTTTTGATAAGGCCCAGCCTTCTGAAACGCCATTTCAATGGATCGGTTCCAGGTGGATGAGTGAAGCTAGGCGGAGCGAAATTCATCTGGCTAGGGCCAGGTTAACAAAAGACCGGCTATACTCTAAAAAATGGTTTTCGGTCAAATATGAACAAACCCAGCCGTTGGGTTACATTTTTAACCCAAACGTTTGGGTTTGTCCATATTTGACCCAAAGTGTGGTTATAACAACCCAGCGTCTAGCCAGACGTCTTGTGGCTATCAGAGCAAAAACGAAAGCTGATGCTCTGCGTGTGTTTTTCCATCATCTTCGGTGTGTTCATATGTAAATTGTGTGAGCTTATTTCATCAATTAGATCAAGAGATCTGAAAAATCCCATACATTTACTCGCCCATAAATCCTTCTCTCGAAGAAATCAAGACAGTGGTCGAAAGTGGACAAAAGAGACGGATTAAAAACACGAGGTGTAAATGGGTACGTGTCTCCCTCGTCTACTAGTGATCCGATCGACCAAAGCGCATCTTAATACCAGGTGTAAACAGGGCCACTAACATGTTGCTAGCATGTTTTAACATCTTGCTAGCATGTTGGTAGAATGTTTTAACACATTGTTAGTATAAATTACCATGCTGCTAAAATGAATTAACATGTTGCTAGCATGTTTAACACATTGCTAGCATTAATTAGAATGTTGCTAGCATGAATTCTAGAGGAAGGCTAGGCCACAAATGATCCTTCTGTTGTATCCTTCATTGCCCAGGGAACGAAGCATGCTCAGGTTCCTCTGAATTGGGACAGCCTTCATCACGCCACTGTGACGCAATCGGCCTTCGAATGCAGAATTTGAAGGATGCAGCCTCTGAACTGGGATGCAGTTACTGTTTACATTTAGTCTTAGAAGAAGAAGAAGAAGCTTAAATAGGAGATCAGATAATAAATGTGTTCTTTTGAACTGTCTATTCATCAAAGAATACTGAAAAAATGTATCACGGTTTACATTAAAATATTAAGCAGCAACTGATTTCAATGATTATAATCAGCATTTTTTCATGAACAGCAAATCAGCTATTTTTTTCTGAAGGATCATGTGACACTGAAGACTTACACTACAGTACTTACGTGTACTTACAGTGTACTTACCTAGAAAGTACTGGCTAATTTATGGTAAGTACATGGGTTAGGGGTAGGTTTAGGGTTGGTTATTACCCAGTAATTATAATTACTATAATACGTAGTAAGTACATGGGTGACAGGACTGTAAAAGGAAGCGTACCAGCAGTTTTTGGCCCTTTGGTTCTGAGTGCAAGTGAATTACATTATACAGTAAATAGATTACATGTTCTGCTTGTTTTAGATAGTATGCACATTTAGAGCTGCCATTCATATCCATTGCATCAAAGTTCAGTAAAGTTCAGGGTTTGTTCAAAATACACTAATTTTGAGCAATAAGATATAGATGCTTTACCAACACTAATGTATAGGTTTTTCCAAATGGGAACAGAAGAAGCTAATACAAGGGCATAAATGTAGTTGTTTCAGGATCTATAGTGATGAAATAACTCTCTCGCTTTCCCTTTTGTTCACGGCAGTTAATCAGTGACTGTCAGTGTGGGTTAAACCTCAAGCTATGCAGATCTAACAACATTAAGCAGCAAATCAGAAAAGAAACCCTGACAACTGAAGCGAGCAGCATTCTTTCAACATTCTGAGGCCCGAGGAATGCCATCGCCCTCAGCTGTGTTTTCACTGATCTTTACAAAGTGGCCTGGAGGTGTATACTTTGAAAGCTGTGCTGTTAATGGTATGTATCTTTGAACAGTGTCATGTTAGATGTTAATGAGGAGCAGCCCGTTCAGCCCACATGCAGCTAATGAGATCTGTTTCATGATGACAAATATTTTTAAATCACATCTTAACGTCACAAAATCCTTACAAAACCAAATTATCTGAGATTTACTAATCACATTAAATGTACCTTTTTTGTTCAAAATTAACCAAATTAAAAGAACGAGTCAGTTAGATCATGAATAGTTTTTTTTCCAAAATGGGGTTTTGTCCCTGATTCATTATTATATTTGTTTATATTTTAGACCTGTCGGGATGGTTTTCGTGGGAAATTGTGTTAATTCGTTACTCGCCTTTGTGTATCTCATATCCACAAATAGAGAAAAGTTGCTCCGGCTACTTTGACGTTTGTACATTTTGCTAACATGTTTTTTTTGTTAGCATGTTTAATACATTGATTGCATGAATTAGCATGTTGCAAGCATTTTTCACATGTTACTAGCGTGTTGCTAGCATGTCTTACCAAAACACTAACATGTTGCTAGCATGTTTTAACACATTTCTAGTATGTTTTAACATGTTACTAACATGTTTGAACATGTTGTTAGTATGTTTTAGCATGTTTTAACATATTGTTAGTATGAATTACCATGCTTCTAGCAAGATTTATTTGCTAGCATGAAATAACATGTTGCTAGCATGAATTAGCATATTGCTAGCATGTTTTAACACATTGCTAGCATGCGTATCTCATCATATTCGTAAATAGAGAGAGCAATAAAATGTTCCTCGTGTTTGTAGAACAGGATTCCTGGTGCTATATAAAGAAGAAGATACATAATGTATTAGTTTGGAGCATAAAGAGCATTTTAAAATAGATGTTGTCTTCTTAAATGGGGACAAATGGGAACTATAAAGCTTGCTGCAGTGCACACTCAAAGTGAGATAAAATCTCTGTCCTGTTTTGTCCGCCTGCAGGCCTAGACACGACCCACTACAAACGTGGCACACAGAAGAGAGAGAGAGACAAGAGACAGACCGGGTGGGGGTGGGGGTGGAAGAGGAATAACCATTTGTCTTAACCTTACAGATGAAACTAGTCTTTTGCAACTTTTATAATACAAATGTTAAACTCTCCTATTGAATACAAAAATAAAAAATATGTAGGCCTATATGCCAGATGTTAGACTAAATTACATTTTGCTTCTTGCTAGAATATTCTGATGTCCACATTTCTGTATTGCATCCAACGTTTTTCATATTCAACATTTTCCCAGCACTTTAGTTTCTTTTATAGTCATTGTGTGAGCAGGAAAGGGGTCAGTTCCTGCTGCCTTTAGGACCTTGAGGAGAGAGTCCAGTTCCCACAGTAACTAGATCTGGGGGAGGTCTCACAGAACACGGGAACCATTATAATACTCCTTTCCCAACTTCCAGAAGTTTCTTTTCCAGACTATAAAGTCTGCATGAAGGATTTGACGTCAGGGGAAGCCAACAGATCCGAGAGGTTGCAAAAGTTTTCGGTAGCTCTGAGAGGTGAGTAACAGATGCAGCTCTGAAAACATGTTGCATTCAGGCTTCATCAACAGCATGAACATTTTAAAAGTGTGCAGTTATTCCATAACAGAGTCCTTCTTTCAAAATTTTTAAATGTAAATAAATGTTTGTTTATTTTTAGTTTTACTCAAAGATAAGTGTTCATAAGCAGCCAAGTGCTTTGATTAACTGTGTTTGTGTGATGATTCTAAAGGCTTTTTACGTATAACAGTCCAAAATTGCTCCTTCAAGCTCTGACTCGCCCATATGGGCATAATAAAAGTACATTTTGGTGCGTTTTGCATGGCTGAAGGCAACATTTTGGGCTGTTCATGCGGTAGAAGGGTGGGGAAAAGCTTCAACAAACTATAACATGTCTGAAGTCTGATGTTCCCACACTAGTGGAACTTCCTGCCATCCTGGCATTCCTGATTGGATAACGGTCATCCAGCGTAAGATGACTCCGGGAGCCGTGAAATCTGAATATGTGGCTGTTACAGCTTTTTCTCCAATGAATATTTGCATCTTGGGGAAATGTGATACTATACATGACCGTTCAAAAGGTTTTGATTTTTTTTTTTTTCTTACTTTTATTTAGCAAGGATGCATTCAATTGATCAAAAGTGTCAGTAAAGACATTTAAATTGTTACAAAAGATTCATATTTTAAAAAATGCTATACTAAGCAACACAACTGTTTTCAACATTATTCATAATAATAAAAGTTTCTTAAGCAGCAAATCAGCAGATTAGAAGGAGAGTTGTTATGCTGAAAGTTCAGCTTCATCACAGGAATAAATAATATTCGTAATATATTAATATAGAAAACAGTGGAGGTAGAGTAAACATTCGTATCAATATCTTCTTTCGTGTTCCCCAAGGAATATTTCTCATTTATAAGCAAAAACGTGCTGTGATGAAGGATCTCAGATCTTCTAAGAGCTTAGTGAGGTTCACTGTTCACGTGGCAGTTATGCCTTACTGTACATGTTTGCTGGACTTCCTTTAGCATAGCAGGCCTGTCATTAAAAGTCTATGGAAATTACAGCTTGGCATATCTTGGCACTATCCTCTCAGTTCTGTGGTCAGGAACTAAAACTTTCCACAGACATATAGAAAATCATCTCATATCTATGTAAAATGAACGTTGCAACTTACTGACTTGTTTGTTACCCTTACAGGCTGTAAACTTACCACCTCTAGAATCATGTTGGTGTCAAGCGTGGTTCTCCTGTGCCTATTGGGCACCGTGAGCGCAGACAAGACCCTCAGCAGCCATGCCACCATGTTGGCAGACAACAGTGCCAATTTGGCCTTCAACCTGTACCAGAACATGGCAAAGGAGAAGGACCTCGAGAACATCCTGATTTCCCCCGTGGTAGTGGCCTCCTCGCTGGGTTTGGTGGCTCTTGGAGGGAAATCCAACACTGCTTCTCAGGTCAAAACCGTCCTGAGCGCCACTACGGTGAAGGATGAGCTGCTACACTCCGGGCTGTCTGAGCTTCTCACCGAGGTCAGTAACTCAACGGCACGTAACGTCACCTGGAAGATCAGCAACCGTTTCTACGGGCCCAGCTCTGTTAGCTTCGTTGACAGCTTTCTGAAGAGCAGCAAGAAGCATTATAACTACGACCACTCCAAAATAAACTTCCGTGACAAGCGCAGCGCGGTCAAAGCCATCAACGACTGGGCATCGAAGTCCACCGACGGAAAGCTGCCTGAAGTGACCAAAGATGTGGAGAAGACAGATGGAGCCATGATCATCAACGCCATGTTTTATAAACGTAAGACTTGACCACCTTAAGAATGAGAAGCAATTTGTAGATTCTTTAAAAAACTAAAATGAGACTCTGTTTCTCTCTCCAGCACACTGGGATGAGCAGTTCCATCATAAGATGGTAGACAATCGTGGTTTCTTAGTGCATCGCTCCTACACGGTCTCCGTTCCCATGATGCATCGCACAGGTGAGGTCATGGTTAAAGCAGTTATGATCCTGAAACACAAAGCTTAGTGGTAAAAAGTACATTGCAGAGGATTTTTCATTAGAAATTAATTATTTTACAGTTACACTAGTTAATTTTTATACACTTTTTGTCACTTTTTGTTTTGATGGAAATAATTATTTACTTTTAGTCAACATTTAGTCCTGTCATATTCTTTAATTGCAGTCAATAAAATCGCATGTAATTTGTCAACAAAAAAAAGACATCTTACAAGAAAGTGTAGAATTAAAACAAACATTCAAATATGTTCTATTATTGTTTGAATATTTAAAAAATAAATATGAAATATAATGAATTAATTTATATTTAGATAAATTAAAATATATCAACATTTAATGTTAATATATTCGTTTTTGTGTTTTGACGAATATTCTTTAAATTTAGTCAATATTGTTTAGTTTTAGTCAATTTAGCTAAAATGGCATGTCATTTTAGTCAATGAAAATAACATTGTAATTAAATATATTATATATTTAAAAAATATCAACTTTTAATGTTGTTAAACATTGATATATTTTTTAATACTGTATATAGAATTTAAAATACTGCATATTTAAATATAATACATAACATTTGAATATTTAGTTTAAAACCCTTTTGTTAAATGGCATACTATAGAACTATAGAAAAAAAATGTTTTTGTGTTTGACTAAAATATCCCTTAACTTTATTCAATATTACATCATGTCATATTCTTTAATTTTGGTCCTTTTATTTGAACGAAACAGCATGTAATTTAAGTCAATGAAAAAAATATTTTAGTTTACAATTTAAAAAATATATATATCACCATTTTTTTATAGAAAATATTATATATATATAAAATATTTCAATATTTAGTTTGATAAAAAAAAAAAAAAAAAAATTGTCAGTAAGATTAAAACTGGCCGGTACATAAAAAAAAATCTGTTTTCAACCTTACCTCGAGTCAATCATTTACATCCATAACTGCTGTTTGATTTGGCGGGATTGCATTTTTACACATTCGTTTATGCTGTCTTTCAGGCATTTATGGCTTCTTTGACGACACAAGCAACAAGCTTTTAGTTCTGAACATGCCGCTGGCCCATAAGATGTCATCTGTGGTGTTCATCATGCCGTACCACGTAGAAGCCCTGGAAAGAGTGGAGAAACTGTTAACACGTCAACAACTGAACACCTGGATGGGTAAGATGGAACAGAGGGCGGTTGCGGTGTCGCTGCCAAAGGTCAGCATGGAGGTCAGCCACAACCTGCAGGTACGAACAGTCTGCAATTTCAGCAAGTGTTTGTTATAAACTCACCTGTGAATTCAGTTCCTTATATAACACCTCGCTGTCTTGCAGAAAAATCTTGCTGAGCTGGGTCTGACCGAAGCTGTGGACAAAGCCAAAGCAGATCTGTCCAACATCTCAGGGAAGAAAGACCTCTACCTGTCCAACGTGTTCCATGCCTCCGCCATGGAGTGGGACACCGAGGGAAATCCACCCGATGCTAGCATCTTTGGTACCGACAAGCTCAAAAACCCCAAACTCTTCTACGCTGACCATCCCTTCGTCTTCCTGGTGAAGGACAACAAGACAAACTCCATTCTTTTCATGGGCAGGCTGGTCCGACCGAAGGGTGAAAAAATGAGAGATGAATTGTAGGATGTTAATTTAAATGTGAGTGAATGTGGTTAATGAGTGTGTGTGTGAGCAGATTTGTGAATGTGTGTAAATGGTACACCTGAGTTCGTTACATTAGATCAGTGGACCAGCATGTGCTATCTGTTACGTTTACATTGAAAATTGAGTTTTAGGTGCCTCATAATGTTTTATGTTATAAACTATGCAAAGTGTACTAGACAAAGTATCGTAAAATTTACACCTGAATAGGTTTCTGAGAAGTGCAGCATGCTTATATTAAGTATGATCTCTATAAAATTAGCTTTAAATCCACACGAACAGCATTTTTGCTCAGGTTTTTTTTTTTTTTATTTGCATTTCGACGGCTTGAGCGAATAACTCACTATGCCGAGTGTTTGATTTCCGAAAAAGTCCACTCCATGCTGTAACATTCTAGCCTGGTTCTACCAGACTCTCGTACATTTCATTTGTACAGAGAGTCTGGCCTCGCTCCATTGAGAAACGTTTACTTCCTTGTAGGCGGGTTCTCTGTTAAAGATCAAAACTATTGGATCTGCCCAGCGTCACTCAGGATCTGCCATAGCCAATCGCTAACGTGTGGTCGTGACGTATGTCATGCGCCGAAACCGGCTGGAAACAACAAGTCCGAATTCCATATTCATAAATCTAAATATCTAAATGCTAAACCTCTCTTTCTTATATTTGTGAAAGAATTGTAAAAATACCTCTTTTCAATTAAGTTGTCTGAGAACAAAAAAAGCCTTAAAAACATTATCTGTTTGTAATTATTTTCCTTTTTTCAGTGTCATGTAATTCTCTTAACTTGTTCATGTTTATTTTATATTATCCCCCTACTGTTTTATTTTTGTTTTGTTTTTATTATTATTTTTTGTTTGTTTTTGTATTATGTTTTCTGTTATTACTTGTGTATTGTTTTAAGCAATAAAAAAAAACAAGTCCGAATGATCAGAGGATTATGTTTAGAATAAGATGTCTGTCAACGAGAGCTGCATGTTTTGTTCATCGAATTTAAGAGTTCAATGAACAATTGTAAATTCTAAATGTATATTTGACACTAAGGACAGTGATCTATTCAGTCAACTGTCGAAGCTGGGTGTAATCATTAACAATACGCCGCTGCGGTCGTTTCGGATCTGCCGCAAATGCTGTACAGTGATCATCGTGCACGCCGAGCTGCCCAGCACCAACTCCTAACCTTTCTGCCTCCCTCACTTGGTCCTCCATTAGTGCAACAAGAGGAGACGACAACAACTATCGGCTTTGCATCCTATCGTTCGCCTTAGCTAACTCATTCACCACTAGCGGAGTGAGTTGGAAAATTAAACTTTTCCCGAACCCCGTGGGGAGGAGGGCCACAACATCATGGCCACCAACAACACTTAGCAAACATTGATCTTGCTCCGGCTTAAACTTCTGGATATTCGTCAGTTTTGCAACAACGGACCGAATAGATTTTCTCACGTCTTTCTCCGCTGCCATTACTGAACTCCAACTCAAACTGACGCGCTAGTACATCAACGTCATCGTTCTCAGACACTCCCTCTGTTCGCTGATTGGACCGGTAAAAAAATTATTTCTGGAAACCAAAGTCTACAGCACAATCCCAGACGTAGTACTGAAGGAAAATAAAATTGAGCGGAAGTGCGTAGGAGGGCGGAGCCAGGCTAGTAACATTCCTCTCAGAAGTGCACACTTGTGTCTGCACTGAATACTGCGTCTGCACTAGATAGCATGAGTCCACGTCTGTACCATGTTTAAGCTTGTATTCACATTGCACCAAAACACGGTTGTCTGAAAAGTTGGATTGTTTCTTGATTTTTCAATAAAATCAGCATCACTGAGAACATGTGTGGGTTTTTATGTATGCTGTACTTCTTTAAAAATCAAAGTGGTTAAGGTAAAAAAAATGCATAGGCTACTTACTATTTCTGAAGTATACAGTATGTATGAAGTGTGCAGTATGCAGATTTTAGTGGCATTTGCCAAAATATAAAGTATAGAGCTTACTGTGTTGAATACTACAAGTATATCCCATAATGCATTGCGCTTGACCTGACTTTTAATTTCCTGTGTGATGAATGAATTAGAAATAATGGCTGCATCCGAAATCACATACTTCCCTACTATATAGTTAGCCGAAAAACATGTGACAATAGTAGTATGTCTGAAATTCACAGTAGGCCTACTCATAAAAGTTTATGACTTTGCCCGACTTTGACATTTTTTACACAAAATTAAATTAAAAATAAAACCTAGCTTTTTTATTTCAGAAAAACCAACTGGATGGCACTTGCTGAATTACATATGGCGCCTGCAATGAATGTATAGTACTGTTTGAAACTAAAGGTTTATATTTTTGTCTGCAAAAAGCTTTGGCGACATCTAGCGTGATTCACCAAAATGACATCAATGTCGACTGATAATGGCATGTGAAGATACTGTGTCTGTGAAGCAGCAAAAATCAGATAGAAAGAGAATCTGTTCCGCCGTACAGAGAAAACATAAATGTATTTCTCGTTCCTTCATCAAGAACGTGGAGACACTGACTGTCCAAAAGAAATAGGTTTGTGTGTATTCTCACACGTGTAAACTCTGTTATCTGATCAGATGAGAATGTGTTCAACTGTGACAGTTTAACCTTCAACCCACAAAAAATAATACATCATGATGAAAAATTGTATTGTGGGTAAAATAAAAAAAGTCTTTTTCAGGAAAAACAGCTAAATAAGCCAATTAGAATCCCAAAATTCAAGGGAAAATAGAAACAACAAAACAAATATTTCTAATAAAAATATTGGTAAAACTTTACAATAAGGTCCCATTAGTTAACATTAGTAAATGCATCAACTAACATTAACCAACAATAACAACACATCTGTTACAGTATAATCTTTGTTAATGTTAGTTCATTGTTAGCTCAGGTTCATTAAATAATATTAACAGACACAACTTTTATTTTTAATGCATAGTAAATGCAATTCTGTCATAATTTTCTCACCCTCAAGTTGTTCCAAACCTGTATGAGTTTCTTTCTTCTTTTGAATACAAAAGAAGATATTTTAAGGAATGTTAACCAGACAGTTGACGGACGGTAGCCATTGTTGACTTCCATAGAAAAAAATACTATATGGAAGTAATTTTCATTTTTGGGTGAACTATCCCTTTAACTACACTTTATTTTTCATTACACCATCACAAATTATATAATCCGTAAGAGATTATAAACACACTAATATATACACATTACAATTAATCAACGTATAATGCACATGAACTATTGATATTTTAAGCTAATGCAATATAGCCTAAGTGTGTGCATTGTGCATTTTTGAGCGTATATAGTGGGCTACATTAGACCAGAACAACGATCACTTCGCTGTATTGAGTTTCAGAAGGCTATTGTTTGCATTGCAACTGTTATCGCACGTAGGCCGGTTCAGATTGGATGGAGCACTGAATCCGTTACCGTACAAGCAACTCCTCCCTCCGCCCGTCCTACTATCTGATCTCTGTCTCATCATGGCTCCGGCGGCGGACAGGCCGGGCTACTGGGGAACACCGACCTCAACTCTCGACTGGTGCGAGGAGAATTATGTGGTCTCGTATTACATCGCAGAATTCTGTAAGTACGTTTGAACGGTGAGCTTGTGTTCGGGACAAACGGTTCATGGTCGTGTAGGGTGGTAAACACGGATGTTAAAACGTTAGAGAGGAGTATTGTTGAATCCTACTATGAGAATGCGGGATACTTAATATTCATGAGGCAAGCATCCGCTATTGGACACTTACGACGCATCATCAGCATAGCCTAATTAATATTGATGAGTCACTTCTTTTTTCATTGGAAGGTTTTGAAGCAACGTCAAAACGACGTAATTAATATAAAAAAGCCAAGCCTTGTTCATAGCGAAGTTACAAACAACGTCAGCGTGACCTACTTAAAATTCATAAGCATTTAATTGCCATAGTAGGATTCGTAACTTAGCAGCCGAGGCCAGCTGCGATCCACAGTCCGCTTTGAACTCGTATCATAAAGCCCTATAACACAGGAAAATCATACAAATGACCGGAAAGACAATGAATGAAACCTAACGTTAGTGAGTGGCGGCATTTGGGGTGGTGCACGAGCGTCGACTGATTTTCAGTGAAATCAAGACTATGAACAGAAAAACACTTTATTTCCCACCATGTAGATGTTTTCTTATGTTAAACGTTCTTTAATTTTGCTTTAATTATAAACTGACTTAAGTATTGTCCCAGTATCAGTTGAACGTAGTCATAAGGACTATAGTGTAATAACTTTTACTGTAAATATGAACTTACTTTTAAATATGAGTTACTTTTCGAGCCTTACAATAGGACTATGGTAATTCAGTGGGATTTTTTGTTCACTGCTGAAATAAAACCAACAACATTAAAACCAGCCTAAGATGATTTGCTGCTCTAGTTGGTTTTTCAGCCAGATCAGGTGAACAATACCCATAAGTGCCATTTATTACCATCAGTATTTTTGTAAGAATAATACCATAATTTGCATATTTCCAAACAACTAGTCAAACTAATTAACCATTACTTTCACCATGGTTATAGAGATTTAAATGGAGAAGTTCTACCTAGGTTTCTGTGATTGCTTTATTGTGAACTTTTTTATTCTGAGCTTGACTGCTGATTATATCCCAGATATGAAAGTATGGAAGGACACAATCTGCATAGCCATTAGATCTTGTTTAAGTACTGTACATTTCAGGTCACATTGATAAGATGCTCAAAGGGTACAGAGTGACAGTTAACACACTAATACTAATAGAGCTTAAATTCCCTCTGCAATTCCCTATGGGTTTTTAGTGGTTTTTGGTCTAATTATTTGAGTTGTATTTTGCAACGTACATTACACACAGTCATATCTTAAGTTTTAAAAGCTGCTGAACCAACAGGAATTCTGGTGGAGGAATGTGCTATGTTCAGTATGGTCAGCTGTAGTGTATATCCAAACAATGAAACAATAGGCCCGTATACACCATGTTAGTTCATTCTAAGAGGCCAGTTTGGATGAAGTTCACTCAACTTTTGTTCAGCTTTGCTGCAGTTTTTGCTTTTATTGTTTATAGAGTATCTCAAATACGGCCTAAAGTCAGCATGAAATGGAAGTTGTGATAGTTGTTCCTTTCCTATTGTGATGTATATCCAAGTGAAATGTCTTCTCAAACACGAAAAAATGTAGGGCAGGACTTGATTTTGTCTATCGGAATTGATTGGATGGTTGTGGTTTGCTATTGGTGGATCTCATGTGAGTGACAGGTTGCCCCGCCCTCACGTCAGTAAACACCTCAGAGAAGAGTAGAGTAGAGATGTCACTATAAGAGGGAGGGGAAGTTATTTTGATTAAAGATTATGAGGGCGCATGAATTTATTGCACTAGGGGTGTAACTGTACACAGAAGCCATGGTTTGGTACGTACCTTGGTTTTGGGGTCACGGTTCGATACAAGTTCAGTACATTTACATGTCTGGCACCACCCAACCCCCAAACGTAGCACAGTACTACGAAGTAAAAGTAAAATTCAACGTCTGCTTTCAAATGTATTGGTTTTATTAATGTGTTGTGCATGCGTAGCCTATGATGTAATTTTCTTTGTACTTACCTAGTACTCTCAAAATAAAAATAAAATAAAGAAAACAAACAGGATGCCGCTTTCTGCCGTTTCCTTTCCGTGAAGCTTGTGGAACGCGTCACAAAAATGAATCGAAACTCAGCATACAGGCAACTAGCAAGCTCTTGCGTGCCATCAGAGTTTTGGGTTGGTGCATAGACTGTCATTTCTTCTTCTGCTCTTTTTGCTGTTGTGGCATTTAGCGATTAGCATTGCATTAACACACGCGCCCCCTTCTGGATTGGAGTGTGGATCACCTGTAACTGACTGTATTCATCGTCTGACTGTTTGCACCGAACTGGGATGTCCATTCTGTTACAGTTCGGAACGTGTACACCTCGTTACACCCCTAATGTGCACGGATGCATCATTTATAACAAATACTGCAATATTCTATTAAAAATAATAATTGTCAATTGTGATTTCATGGTGACTTTAATATTTACATTCATTAACATGAAAACATTGTTTTTTTGCTTTCTCCAGGGAATACTGTCAGTAACCTGATAATGATCCTACCTCCCATTTACGGAGCCATTCAGATGTGTAAAGATGGTTTGGAAGTACGCTATGTGTGGTCATTTTTAGGACTCGCTGGTACGATGCATCATTCACATTATTTTTTAAACACACAAATCTCTTTTTTTCGAAAGGAGTGACCTTTCCCACTGATATGTATTTCCAAAACAAATGTAGATTAAATGTTCTGTTTTTATGTTGTTGCTCTTTTTGGCACAGCCGTAGGGATTGGTTCATGGAGCTTTCACATGACACTACAGTATGAAATGCAGGTAAGCTTGACTTCTCTTTAGCCTTTCAAAGTGTGCATCTTGTTCTCAAGCACGCTTTCATTCTCGTAGCCACAAAGCTGCTTCTCTAACGGTACATGCCCAAAGCAATAGCAATAATACACAAGTGACAAACAAATGCTGTCTGTCTCTGGATTGTCTTTTGTTTCTAGTTACTGGATGAGCTGCCGATGATTTACAGCTGCTGCGTCTTTGTCTACTGTCTGTAAGTTGACCTTTCTTACACCTTCAAAGTTTCACCTTTGACCTCTGAATGCTTGTCTTGACCGTAATGAGGATCAGAATTTTTTTATCATTAAGCTTTTGGATTTGAAAGAAGTCTTTTATGCTCACCAAGGCTGCATTTATTTGATCATATATAGTAGGAACAGTAATATTGTGAAATATTATTTAAACTTAAAATAACTGTTTTCAATTTTCATATATTTCTAAATGTAAAAAAAAATTCTTACTGACCCCAAACTTTTGAACTGTAGTGTATGATTGTAGGTCATTTATTGTGGATGATTTTCCTCTGACTTTGTTCTGTGACTGATCTAAATATGTGTCTTACATGCTACAGATATGAGTGCTTCAAGCAAGAGCGTGCTGTTAACTATTCCTCAATTACACTTTTGGTGACCTTCAGTATTATTGTTAGTGTGGTAAGTTTTTCTTTGCTCTTATAAATTCTAAAACACATACAGTAATATGCAGTGAAAAAAATCTACTATTGGTTTTTTTTTAAGTACAAACTTTTTTTATTTTAGGTTTACCTGATATGGAAAGAGCCTGTCTTTCACCAGGTGAGGCCCGACTCTCATTATAAGAACATCTTTAGTTTGGTTTATCCTACTTGACCATGTCAGGTTTCTTTGAGAGCATGACAATGTTGTGTCAAAACAACTGGCTCTTCTGCAGTCAGTGTTTGCTGTCCGTTTCTGTTGTTAAGGGCATGACAGTTAGGCGTGGCTCTATTCATTCTCAGGGTATTGAATGGTTCATGAGCTTCTGTAAACACACTGCTGTGATGTCTTTTGTTTAAAACTGCCAGCACAACACATTCATGTAAAAAAAAAAATCACCATTTAAACAATCATATTGTTTATATATCAGATGCTGATGTTAAATAATACAGGTTAACAGCGGTTTTATCATTTCCCCCAGGTCATGTATGCCGTACTAGTGGCTTTCTTGGTGATTCGCTCAGTTTTCATAGTCACATGGTGAGTAAATGAATCTGTATTTGCCCACCCAAAAAATAGAGTTAAGTTCATACAATTTTTTTAATGGATTATACATTTTTCCCACCCAATTTTCTGGCAGCCTTGGTTCCAAAAGTATCTTTCAGATTAATTTTTCCCATAGAAAAAAAAAGAAAGAAAGTCTTTGTTAAAGCATTATAAGCCATGGATAAAAGCCAACCAGCTATGGTCAATCACAACATTACACATTTTGATGTGAGGCAAAAAAATATATAAAAAATATTTTTTTTCTTTTTTTCTTGACAAAAAGGTACAAGACTGTGTACTTAATGGCTTTAAGAAGGGAAAGAACTACAATCCCATGAGGCATTGAGAATAATATAATCTAATTAAAAACAACGGATAAATATAAAGCTTTCGATTTAAAGATGTTGGTTATGTATAGAAAGAATATGTTTATGTTTATTGCAAAATATGCATAATTGCATATATATATATATATATATATACACAAATATTTCAGTAGTATCAATGTATTATTACATGGCAGAAATAGTAAGAGTACTATGCTAGTGTGTAGTTCTGAATCCAGCATGACTATTACGTCATTCGCAGTGCTTCATGGGAGTTTGTGGGTAAAGAGTTATTTTGGTACAATTTGCTTGGCTGCATCCGAAATCGCATACTTCAATACTATACAGTAGGCAAAAAACAGTATGTGACAAAAGAAGTATGTCTGAATAAACAGTAACAAAATGCCTAACTACTTCCGGCGAGATTCTGAAGTGTGCATAGGATGGAGGCCATGAGGCCACACACTCATACCAAATACTTTTTTAGCAGTTGTGAAGTAATTACGTATTCAAAATAAGTACCTACACAAGTGATGATGTGATTTCGGATGCAGCCCTAATTTCTCTGATTGGTGGAGTTTTTGGAGTAATGTAGTTTTTCACCAGGAATTCTGCTGCTAAGCACGATTATTTAAAAAATAAGTTGAAATAATGCAGGCCGATGGCTTCAACAAAAGCATATACCATTGATTAACCACCTCGTAGCTCACAGCAGGTCTGTCTAGGTAAGCTATTGTTCAAAATTGTTTCCCCTATGGAGAAAATGAATGGAATTTTTACTTCCAGAACCCGAATGTTACACTCTATTGATTGGATTGTGAAAAGTGGAAAGGTTCATAGCAGAATAGAGCCAGACTTGAATTCAAGTTTGCTAAAACATTGTCTGTATTAAGAAGGTGTGATTGTCTATTAAGGAAGTAAATACTTTAACATCATGTCTATGCTTTGCAGGGTCTATCCGTGGCTCAGAGCCCTCTGCTTTACGTCATTAACCGTCTTCCTGTTGGGATTCGTATTATGGAACATCGATAATATCATGTGTGACTCTCTAAGGTAGTTCTAGTTCCATTGCATTTTTACATTTAGCAGTATATCAATTTTCGTCAACAAAAATAACATCTTAATTTACAAGAAAAGCTAAATCAAACTAAATATTCAATATATTATAAATAAATATTTTATTGATTAAAAAATGTATTATATATTATGTATAATATATTGTTATATTTTCTATTTTCTGACTTTAAGTCAGTTTTACTCTGACTGAAATAGTATGTAAATTTAGCCAACATAAATAACATTACAAGAGGTCATTATTTGTCATGTTTCATTCAGAGCCACACGGCAGCGACTGCCTCCTGTGTTTGGGGCGGTTACGCAGCTTCACGCCTGGTGGCACATCCTAACAGGCCTGGGGTCATATTTACACATACTCCTCAGGTACGTATCTGTGGAAAAAATATGTTGTTTGAATGGATGATGTAATTAAATATGGAGATCATTTATTTTATTTTATTCTTTTGCCATAGCCTCCAGATTCGGTCAACCTACCTCAAGCACAGACCAAAAGTGAAGTTTTTATGTGGCGTTTGGCCGATGCTGCACATTGAATCTCAGAAGGCGAGTTGAAAGAGACCCGAGAAGAGGAAGATGGACCAATCACAGACCTCAGACAGAAAGAGGTCCAGCCAATGAGCTTCAGCGGCAGCAGGAAGTGACCAGCGGCTGACGGTTTGGTTCCCCTGTTCCCCTTCCGACTCCGTTTGCCAAGTGCATTACTGAGAAAACTGCCAAACGAAGGAAAGATTTTGTCTTTATTATAGGTTAGATGAGAGTTTTCTAGTGGTCTTGTGATTTTGCACATGTAACATGTACATAAGTTTTCCTATAAATCGGAGGGTCTAATTAGAAGCAGCCAAAACTAGGATTTTGTTCTGGTTGTTAGTATTTCTGCCTTCATTAGGGAAAATAATGTGGCGTTGATGGATCATATCTAGTCAGTTTGACAGTTTTCATATTTTGTACTTGAACTTAATTTAACTAGCTTGAGATTATGCAAAATTTTACTTATCTCTACACTTTTAGAGATTATGATAGTCAAATTAAACAGATCAGAAAAATAAATGAGTGTTGATAAGTAAGATCTTCGTCCTTAAGAACCATTGAGGCATTTAGGGATGAGATACATGCACATTTGACTGTAATATGGTAATTTTATAGTGTTTCAGACATACAGTAGCATGTTACATAATTGTGTCCATGTTACACATACTACATATTATTAATATTTGTCATTACAGTAAGACATATTAACAATAGTCACAAGCTGCTCTGCAAAACAAATTGAGTCTGAGTGTTTTTGTTTAAACCTGATCCAGTTTGCCCTTTAAACATTTCAAGGCCCTCATGTGACCAATATGCAATCAAATGGATTTAATTTATTATCATTTTTGGTAAAAGGGTGTGTTAATATGAACAGTTTATGAAGGACTTATCATGCATGCTTATTAACATTGAGCTGAGATACTTAAATGCTTTATTACTTAATTGCTGTTACTTATCATTAGCTATCATTAGCAAATGAATGTCTCATAAACTAGATTATATTCTCATCTCTAATACTGACTACTTGAAATGCCACTAGTCATGCTTGCTGTCAAAAAAGAAACAGTAAAGGGTGGTTACGAATGAAGTCATATATTAATATTGATTCGTCATTTGTTTATGTATTGTGCCAAGTTAATGGTTCAATAAGAACTCAATCATCTGTAAAGCACAGTTGATTAAAATAAATTGTATTTAATCCGATGAGAAATGGCGCACATATTTCAGATAAAGCGCTGCTGTTGGTTTGGACTCATGTTTGTACCACTAAGGATGCCTTAGATTAAACTGTGGTTTATTCCTTGTTGCCTTGATGTCCATTATATCAAATAATTATGAATTACATATTCCATCACATAAAATGAATCAAACAAAAACAAAGACGTCAACATTTTTGCTGAATACAAATGAACAAACAACAGCAAAATTACTGCCACTATCACAGTTTAGTGCTTAAATCCACTGATGCAGTTGTTAAGATATTAGTGGACCTCTAATCTTGCTTATGACTGAAATGCTGAGTTATGGAATATTGTAGCTGACCTTCCCAGCATTGTCCTGTAAAGGCTGTGTAATGATTTAAGTATGTTATGTGTGTTTTGTGATTTTTTTTGTGCCTCATTAAAATCTATGTTGCCAAAACATTAAATAATGTTAATATTGTTTTACCTTATTTAAATTTTTTTGTGCTGCTTGTACGTTTAATATGGATCGTGTCTGTAATCATTTTTTAATCTGTCGTTTGTACTTGCATCCAATCATACAACACTGATGTGACAGCATCTAAAACTTAAAAGTATTTATGTATAGCTACATAAACACAGTTTAAAAAAAAAACTTAACATTTATTTAAAAAAAAAAAATATATATATATATCCATAGTAACATTTTAACCATATAACCTGGTGGTTAAATACATAGACATTAAAAGAAAGGTTAAATATGTACATACCGATTTATGAGTTCCGGTTGGAATGGTAAATATCATCTCAAAATATTGGCTGCAGATCATTGTTGTAACAGCAGAGGGCAGATCTGCAGGTTGGAGTAGTCGGCGTGACGAAAGGTCTTTATCATTGGTCACAAAAGCTGTCAGTCAGGGTGTGGGCTATAGGGTTAGGGGTTAGTTTCTTCTGTTGTAACAATTCGCCTTTTTTCGGCAAGCCTCCTTTCGGCAGGCCCATTATTATTACTCCGACCTGCAGCTATCCCGGTCTCCACACTATTGACACGTACACTTGTGCAGCTGTCTTTGAGTCATATCAGACAGAGATGTCATTGAGTCATTTCCTGGCCTGGAAAACAAGCATGTTGGAACCTCTGGAGTCTCAGGTAAACAGGGGAATTCTGCACGACGTCAGAGATGTCAGGTGAAAGCTCCTCTTCAGTTGATTACATGCAAAGACTGACTTTGTTACATGGCTTCTGACTGTATCAAAATGGAAAACCCATTGATTCAGGATTGTTCTTCAAAATATAGGCCTACCCGATAACTGACATGACACTTGTCTTTACAGCAGTATGACATCATACCTGCCAACTTTTGAGTTTTGCTCGGCGTGAGATTTGTTGCGGGGGGGGGGGGGGGGGGGGTGTTAGAGACGAGTGAGATTTGTTGACGGGGGGGGGGGGGGGGGGGGGGGGGGGGTAGAGACGAGTGAGATTTGTTGACGGGGGGGGGGGGGTGGGGGGTGGTAGAGACGAGTGAGATTTGTTGACGGGGGGGGGGCGGTCTCGCTCGCGCAAGGTCTCTCGCTCGCTCTACGCGGTTTGGAGCACAATCTCTGTCTCGCATGCACGCTCGCTCTAGATAACGGGATGTTTTTTAACGAATTTGCGGTATAACTAGTCGATCACGAGTGGCTCAACAGGTAGATATATAGATAAACTCATCTTCCAGGCATTTGACCGCCCGGGTTGACACTTCAGCGTGAGAAATCGGGAGTGTGGCGTGTGAGCGTGTGAAACCAATCAAATGCGGGTGTCTCACGGCCAATGCGTGAGAGTTGGCAGCTATGTGACATGTTATTAGGCATCATTTTAAACCATACATTTATTTTTAAATCACAATTCCTATTTATTTATTTATGCACGCATTAAGTGACCATGATAAAAAAAAGTCTAAAAGTGGTGAAAAATGAATCAGTGACAAGTTAAAATATACATTTCCCCCATTGTATATTCAGATTTGTCATTTATCCACATCAGAAGAGGGTATAGGCAAATCTGTATTTGAGTGGATTTTAATACGGATTTACACATACACGCTTTATATATTTATATGTCCAAGCTCCTACCTTTTTTTATTTTAGGAATGAAGAATGATCCCTGACGGGGAAAAAACATGTTGTAAATAAAAAAATTCCCTGACTACATCCTGAACCAACAGACTGTCAACGCAGAGCTTTATGTGTCATCAACACTATTGATAAAACTGATTACATAATAGCAGATGTAGAGGTGGTGGTGCCAGATTCTGTGGGCAAAGGAAGTGATGACCACCTGATTTATAGACAGGCTGTTACCAGTAATTCTGCCCAGATTAGACAATCGGTGAAGTTTGAAAGGGGCTGTTTTTTATTTATTATCTAGAATCCCTGAGTCAGTGGAAGCACTTCTGATAAACAGCTATTGGTCACATGTCTTATTCTGGAGCTGAGAGTACATGATTATGAACCAAAGTATTTAAAGGGATACTTCAGGATTTAGCATTAAGCGTTGCATCAGTAGAAAACCTGTAGTATTTTCGAATTACCATGCTTTCCTCCCTCATATCCCCCTGAGATGAGAGAATTATGTATTTTTTGTCTGGAAAAAATCCTCAGATGACGCAAAAATCGTCATTTTGCATCATCGGAGGATTTTTTGGCCAGAGGCTAAAAACTACAGCCAGTAGAAGGAGCTGTTCCGCATGTTTTCAACCCGCCCATAGATCTCATTCACAGAATGTACAAAATAGTGTCAGCCATCTTTTATTTGGAAGCTAAGCTAACAGGCTCTTGTTCTGTGGAGAAATCGGAGTAGTAGGGGTTACCATACATCCTCTTTTTCCCGGACATGTCTGGCCATCGAGATCGTCCAAAATGTCCGGGATTCAGCTTTTGCTTTCTGCAGTCGCCATTCATTGTTTACATGCACACCTTTTGTTTCAGTCTGACTGAATTCATTCCGATTGGTGAATCTGAATGTCGTGTTTACATGAACGCTAAACAAGTGATCGGTAGCATTGCTAAGAAAATTCCCACTCCTCCGTGAGATACGAGACCGGTGCGTCTCACAGGTGTCGCTCATCAGTAATCACGCCACCGGCCTCGCGTCGTTCTCCCGCGGCCCTAGCCTCGTCCTGCTCGCCAAACATGATGAATGGCGAATTTAGAACGCAAAAGCCTAATCCTGGACATTTTGGCTGATCACAAAATCCTGGGTAGACTTGTCACGGAGACTCACTAGTAGCCTAGCCTTGTTGTTTAACTGCGCTCTCTTACCGGTAGGCGTGGCTTGGGAGTGGCCTCCTAGGGCAGCGAAGCAAGTGCATTCTGGGAGTTGTTATCTTTCATGCCAAAAAGCAAAAAATACATTTTCTGGCTTTTCTCAGTCTAGAAGGCTCCAAATGAAATCCACATTTCTACTACTACATAAATGACCCATTTTAAATACACAATCATCATCAATCGTTTTTTTATATTAAACTATGTTATTCTCTTATCTAAGACGAGTTGATACATACCTCTCTCGTCTCGTGCGTGCACTGAATCGCTCTGTCGGGCGGAGAACTTTGAGAGCAGTTAGCTTAGCCCCATTCATTGTACACTCTCAGAAAAAAAAGTACAAAACGGTACCTTTAAGGAACAAAAGCTTGTCACTGGGGTGGTGCCCTCAAAGGTACATTATTGTACCTTAAGTCAGAGGAGCAAATTTGTACCTTACTTGTTTGTACCTTCTAAGGGCCAATACTGTACCTTTGAGGATCAATAATGTACCTTAGACAAAGGTACAATAAAGTACCTCTGGAAAAGGGTACAATTTTGTCCCATTAAGGTACCGCCCCAGTGACAAAGCAATTTTGTACCTTTAGGTGGCAAAAAAGTTCCTTTTTATTCCTTAAGGAGTGAAAGAAAATAAAGGCAAACAACAACTAACTGAATTTTAGAGATTTATTTTAGTCCTTTAATTCACAGATTCGATAATAATTCAACTCACAACCATACAATGTAACATCCCAAAATAAAATGCCACAATGTTTAGGATGTCATG